CACAAAACAGTTGTTGACAGCCAGTTATTCTGTGCTATTTAGAAATTAGAAATTATTCTTCCTATTCAACTGCATATTTGTAACAATCCATTAAAAAATTTTGCATGTGAGAATAAGAAAAAAGCAGGGGCAAGGGGTGGGGTAGGTTTGATTATCCTGTGGGCAAGGGCCATTCCAGGGAGAGGTTGTACACAGGCTCTTGGCCCCTTTCCTTTCCCCCTTCTTCTCCCTTTATCAGCCAGAGTCAGAAACTAAACACCTAAGCATCAGGTGGCTAAAAACCTAGAACAAGAAGAAAGTGTTGGGGAAGAGACTGCCAACTTAGTAGGCTTCCAGCTGAACATGAACAAAAAAGGGACTTTAAGTACCTTGCAAATGACAGGTCGAACAAAAGTAATGGTAGCCAGAGATTAGGGTTTTATTTTTCCCCCTAGTGCTGAGGATAGACCCAGGGCTTTGAGCATGCTAGGCAAGTTCTCTTCTTTGAACTGTATCCCCAGTCCTAGTTAGTATTTTTTTTTTTTCCCCGATACTGGGGTTTAAACTCAGGGCCAACACCTTGAGCCACTCCACCAGCCCCTTTTTTTGCGGGGCGACGGGGAGAGGGGTTCAAGACAGGGTCTCTTGAACTATTTGCCCAGGCTGGCTTCAAACCATGATCCTCCTGATCTCTGCCTCCTGAGTGGCTACCAGCACCCGGCCTACTTAGTAATGTTAATATCAAATCCCTAGGTACTGGGGAGAAAATACAGGATAATTGAATAGGTTATACATATTATAATATCTTATTATAAATAATACAAAATATATATAATGAATTGTCTATATGAAAAATAAAAGAAGTTCCATATAATTTAAATTTACATACATGAAAAGATATAAGGGCTACTTGGAAGGCAGAAGTAGGATTATTCAAATTCAGGAGTTCAGGCCATCCTGGGCAACACAGTGAGACACCCTCCTCTCAAGAAAAAAAAAGAAAGAAAAAGTATATGGTATTATTTGGGTTTGAGGCCTGCACAATATAGTTTTTACCTTAAATTTAGTATGTGCTAAATGACCAATTGATAATATTTCATGATCTTCTTTAATACTGGGACTTATACCTAAGATCCTACTAAATTTAAACATTGTGCCCCCTACAGTCTTAAAAAGTTACCTAATATAAGATGAGAAAATGATATGCCTCACTTTTAACTGTGGGCTTGCTTGAATTTCACAGAGTTGCAATACCCATTGTCCTAAAATGCTCCACATATATCCTCTAATAAAGTAAATAATACATAAAACTAAAGTCAGGCCTTTCTTTTTTCTTCTGATGTGGAGAGGGATCTCCGTATGTTGCTCAGGGTGACCTTGAGCTCAAAATCTACCTGATCCCACCTCAGCCTCTTGAGTTACAAAGTCAGTTCTTACCATTTACAAGTTAGCTTGTTATGTTGAACTCCCTGAGCCCTAATTAAAATAGTTAATATGAGCTGGGCATGGTGACTCATGGCTAGCCTTCCTAGGACAGGATGGAACAAAGCATGAGTCTGCTAGTATATGTCACCTGCAAGAGAGGTTGGCTTGCTCTTGATATCCCTCCCTCCTTTTTTTTTTTTTTTTTTTTTTGGTGGCACTGGGGTTTGAACTTAGGGCTTCACACTTGCAAAGCAGGTGCTCTACCTCTTGAGCCACCCCTCCAGTCCATTTTGCTCTGATTATTTTGGAGATGGCGTCTTGAAGACTATTTGCCTGGGTGGCACGAGCCATTGACAATGGCTACCTTACACTACGTTTTGAAAAAATATTTTAAACTCTCCTATAAGGGCAAGAGACCAGATTAGTCAGCGGTCTGTATTTTTCATTAACCATAGATTATCCCACAGGCCAGGCAGTTGCTTATGTGCTGTGGGACCCATTTGAATCTAAACTACTACCAGAAAAGCAAAACCGAAATCTTGTTATGTGCAGCTGCACATCATTTCTTTTGTCATATAAACTACTGGTTCTGTGTTCTTTCATTGTTTCATAAACTTAAGCCCTACATCAACTCCAACAGGTGTTCACTTGGAAAGGATACTCCAGCCCTACATTAAGATGACTTGGGCCAAATGCACATTACCTTAGATGATTCCACACCATCCTAAACCCCACGTTTGGAGAAAAGTGTCTCCTGTCCAGGAGATTGCTTTTTTCTTTAACTAGAACCTCCACCAAGGGATACCTGTGCAGTACCTCTCTCAAAGCACAATTTAGACACACACACACACACACACACACACACGCACATATAACTTTTGTTTGCGTTTACTTTAATTCTTAATTTATCCCCATGCCGTAAGTTTTTGTTTCTTCAGTTCCTTCTGGGATATCTTTTTCTTTGGTACAACTTTCTCTTCTGGTTTAGGAACAATTTATCTCCTTTCCATGAGAATCATCTCAGTGTGGCAGGGGTGTAGCTCATACGTGGGTTAATTGGACCATGAGCTTTGTAAGTGCAGTGGTGGCGCAGTTTGGATGATGTGTTCCATGGCCAGAGAATCCACATCTGTACCTTTAGGTTCAGTGTTACTGTTTGCATTTTCAAGCATGTGCAGCAAAAATTCAGTCTTTTTTGGGCCACTGACCCTATGGATACAGGATATTTATTTCTATTTTTTCCTAAGCTCACTGTCTACTTGGTCTGTGATTAGGGTATACAGGATTCCGCCTTATTCGTGGATTTATTACACACGGTTTTGACCAAGTGTAGTCAAAAATTTTTTATGAAAAGAAATTCCAGAATCAAAATCATTTATTTATTTAGTTACTCATTCATGCATTCATTTATTGTGGCTATTAACGATGTACGGTAGATCTCTTGAATATATTCCTTATGTCTAACTGACATTTTATGTCCTTTGACCATTATCTCTCCATCTCTCAGGCTCTGGTAACCACCATTTTACCATCTGTATAATTTTGACTTATTTACACTCAATGCTTATGAGATCACATGATGTTTGTCTTTTTGTACTCAGCTCATTTCACTGAATGCATCTTCTAGTTTCATCCATGTTGTCACAAATGATAGAATTCCTTTCTTTTTAGAGGCTTAATTGTATTCCATTGTGTGTGTGTGTGTGTGTGTGTGTGTGTGTGTGTGTATTACAGTCTCTTCATCCATTATGGGTTCTTAGGTGGTTTCAGTGTCTTACCTATTATGAATAATGCTGCAATGAACATGGAAATGGCTGGTGTCTCCCCAGCATTCTGATTTCATGTCATTTGGAACTGTATTCAACAGTGGCATTACATCATTGTAGTTCCACTTTTTTTGTTGTTTTTTGTTTGGTTATTTTTGTTTTTGCTAGACTGGGGGTTTGAACTCAGAGCTTTGTGCTTGTAAAGCCAGGTGCCCTGCTTGAGCCACACCTCCGGTCTTGTAGTTCCAGTTTTAGGGTTTTTTATTTTTTTTCATTTTCTGAGACAGGGTCTTGCTGTGCAGCTCAGGCTGGTCTTGAACTTTTGATCCTTTTAATCTGGGTGCCTTAACTTCCTGAGTGCCGGGGTTATAGGTGTGCATCACTACACCCAGGCTATTTTTAGTGTTTTGAGGAACCTCTGTACTTATTTTCCATATGCCTGCACTAATTCATGCACCCTCCAATAGTGTACAAAGTTCCGTTTTCTTATTTTAGCCAACAGTGGTTATTTTTTCTCATTTTGACAGTCCTTCTAACAGATGTGAGATGATATTTTACTCTGTGGCTTTAGTTTGCATTTCTCTGTTGATTAGTGATGTTTAGCATATTTTCATGTACCTCTTGGCCATTTGTGTGTTTTCTTTTCATAAATGTTCACTTAGGTCCTTTGGTCATATTTGGTTATCACTTACTACATTGTGTGGTACAGTCTCTTTGCATGCATGACTCTTTAAACTTTGACTTGCTTGAGGGTTGAGGATGTCTTTTTTTTTTGAGTTTTGGCAGTACTGGGGTTTAAAGTCAGGGCCTCACACTTGCTAGGCAGGAGCGCTACCACTTGAGCCACTCCACCAGCTTGATGTCTTTTTTTTTTTTTTTTTCCTGCCTCTTCCTCCTGAGTGCTGGGATTACAGGCTTGTACCACCATGCCCCACTATCTTACTTACCTTTACTGCAAAAGTAGTCTTCACATCTGTTAATGTTTGTTTTATATATTTAGGTGCTCCAATGTTGGGTTCATATATATGTACAGTTGTTATATTTTTTATTTTACACAGTACTGGGGTTTGAACTCAGGGCTTCACACTTACTAGACTGTCGCTTTACCACTTGAGCTACACCCACAAGACCTTTTTACTCTAATTATTTTGGAGATAGGATTTCATTTTTTGCCTAAGCTACCCTGGACCTCAATCCTCCTTTTTTTTTTTTTTTTTTTTTTCCTTTTCTCAAATTGTGCAACCTTTTTTCCAGTCCACAGATAAGAAAGCTGGGCAATGGTTGGAGGCTGCCATTCACTCTGGCCTGGATATATTATGAGAGGCCCACAGACAGGATTTGCCATAAACCCATTACCATGCTCAAGAAGATTATTGTAGGATTTTATGAGTTATGACATGAACCGATTAAAAAAAATTTTTTTTTATTCTGGTGATACTGGGCCTCAGGACCTCATGTTTGCTTTGTGCTCTACCATGGGAGCTACTCCACCAGCCCTTGATCCTCCTATTTTAAGCTTCCCACTGCCACTGGGATGACACCCAGCTTTTTTGCATTGAGGTGGGGTCTTGCATACTTCTTTGCCCAGGTTGGCCTGGAACCTTGATCCTTCTGATCTCAGCCTCCCATGTAGCTTGGGATGACAGATGCATACCACTGCTGCTGGCTATTGGTTGAGATGGTCTCACTCCCAGTGGAGCTTGTAGCACACAGTCATCTTTAGTAAATGGTGGTTGGTGTTCTGCTGCTCATTGTGTAGAGTACTTAGTTTTTAGTGGCTTTCACGTGTATCACCAGCACACAGAGCTAATTCTCATGCTATGTCTACAGGAATACAAATAACCCTATGTCGAGAGGAGCCGATTGCCACTGTTCACTTAGGTGCTTCAGTTTCCTGTACGTGTCCTAGGAATCACAGAAGAGAGTGTTCTGCCTTATAGGATGGAAGCCATCAGCTTGTCCCGTGGTGAGAATCTGCTTTAGGTGCCCCATGCACAGCATAGATGCTAGTGGTCTGAGCCTGAAGAACTATGCTGCTGTTATCTCAGAGGTGCTATAATAGGCCGTAGAGAGTTGTTTTGTAAGTCAGCCACGCTGTGTGTGCTTTGGTTACAGGTGCTGCATAATCTCACAGTCACTAGTTTTATCTGTGTGGGTAAGTAAAGAGTCATGTTTCTTAGGGCTCAGAGTTCTCATTTTACCTGTAAAATGAGACCTCTACTTCTCCCAATGGCAGCACAGCTTACCATGCCTTTTTCTGCCTCTAGGCCAGGCGGAATGCTCAGGCACTAGTATGTACATGCAGAGTTTTCATGAGTATGTTGGATTGTATGGGAGTTTTCAAACTAGGACAGAATAATGTACACATGTGGGAATGTGGGAATTATGTTCGTTTTGGATTTTTACACCTTCTTTTTTTCCCCCCCCAGGTTTATTTTCTAGGGGCCCAACTTACTTCCATGAAGACAATATGAAGGTAGAAAGGATGGTGGCTGACTGCCAGGTATTATTAAACTATATCCTTCTCCACAATGGCATACTTGCGCCTACCGGGTAAACACATTTCCCATCTAGGCAGACTTGTTTCCAGAGCTTCTGACAGGAAATAAAGCCTTACTCAAAGATTGAGTCATGGCCAGGCGCTGGTGGCTCATGCCTGTAGTCTTGATCTCTGTAGGAGACAGAGATCAGGAGGATAATGATTCGATACCAGCCCAGGCAAATAGTTGTCAAGACCGTATCTTGAAAATAACCATCACAAAGAAGGGCTGGTGGGGTGGCTCAAGTGGTAGAGTACCTGCCTAGCAGACGGGAGACCCTGATTCAAATCAAAGTACTCCCAAAAAAAAAGGAACCAAGTCTTCAGTTGAATTGTCCTAAGTTGTGGAGCCTCTTATATTGGTGAAGGATTATCTTGAAATCCATCCAATATTTCAGTAATTCCTAATTAATCTCTTTTTTTGGGCACCAATGGCATGTCTCTGATTTTGCTAAATGTTCTGACAGATGACAAAGTGAATAAGTGTTTTCGGAAAGATTTTATTCGCTCACCACCCTTTTCTGGTATGTGCAGTGTGCTTAGGAGTGTATTTATTTATTTATTTGTGGTACTGGAGTTTGAACTCAGGGCCTTGTGCTTGCTAGGCAGGTGCTCTATCACTTGAGCTACTCCACCATCCCAGGGGTATATGGTTGTGGTAAGTGCATGTTTGAGATTTGCTATTGAAGACATGAGTGAAGATGATGACTAGTTGTGAGTGTGGATACAGAGGAATCCTTGAGGGCCTTTGGGGTAGACAGTGGTAGAAGACCCGACTCTGTACAGTCATTGAGTTCCCTGGCATTCTTCAGTGAATTTTGATAGATATGTTATTTGGCTCAAATTAGGATAATATGTGTAATTACAGGAGTCAGTGACCTTTGAGGATGTGGCTGTGGACTTCACCCAGGAGGAGTGGGCTTTACTGGACATAGCTCAGAGAAACCTATATAGAGAGGTGATGCTGGAGAACTACCAGAACCTGGCCACAGTAGGTAAGGCTGCCATCATGTCTTGTAACCTTTTAGGAAGCAGAAATATATTATGTATTTACTGCGTTTTAGGGTTAGTGATGTTAGGTCTGAGGACAATGGAAAATAACAGGCATAGTCCCTGTCCTAATATGCTCTAATCTGTGGTGGTTCAAGGTGTGGTTGTAGGATCAGTAGTATCACCGTTACTCTCATAAAAGTACACTTTCAGTCTCTACCTTTGATATACTGAATCAGAAGTACTTCAGTTGGGGTCCCACCGTCAGTGTTTTAATAATCCTCCTCATTTGAATCTGAGGCATTACAACAATATTTAACAAATTACTGGTGTAGAGCCAGGTGTGGTGGTACACAACTGTAATTCCTGCACTCAGGAGGCTGAGGCAGGAGGATCCAGAGTTCCACTTGGACTGCATAGCAAGGCCCTGTCTCCAAAAAAAAACAAAAAAAAAATCCAAAAAACTAAGCAAACCAAAAAAGAACCATAGTGCTTTATAAATGTCTACATAATCAATACTTTGTTTTTTAGGGATCAGAGATCAGTGCCTTATGGACACATAAAGATGGAATATTTCATACTGAGGTCTTTAGTAGTCATTTCACTAGTCTTAATAGAACCGAAATTTCCAAAATAGAAAGAAGGAAAGGGAAAAGGGTAAAGAACCATAGCTCCTAATCATGGAAAGGTTTATCATTTCCTGCTTGAGTCACTTCCATGATTATCTTTCCTCGTGTGTAGGATTTCAGCTTGTCAAACCCAGCCTGATATCTTGTTTGGAAGCAGAAGAAGAGTTAAGGACAGTGGAGAGAGGTGTTCTCCAAAGTAAGTGTTTGTGGAAAACATCTCCAGCTGATGAGAAGTTTAGTATGTTTGTTTGGAGTATAATGAGCAATTCAAAAAAAAATTTTTTTTTTTTTTTTTTTTTTTGGCAGCACTGGGGTTTGAACTCAGGGTCCTATTCTTGGCTAGGCAGGCATTCTTACCACTTCAGCCACTCCACTAGCTCCCAAATTTTTAATTTATTACTATATTTTGTCATACTGGGGATGGAATTTAGGGTTTTGTGCATGCTAGGGAAGTGTTCTTGGTACATCCCCAACTAGAGGAAACTTTTCAAAATATCTTTTAAGTGAGAATGCTAAGGCCATTAGACGTGGAAGTTTTGGGATATCCTTGCAGTTCAATCCTGTGGTACTTTCCATCCATCCACAACAATCTCAACACTGACTTACTCTTTTCTTATTTGAGTTTATGGTTTTCATGATGTACTTTGTCCAGATCTTCCTTCCCTATTAACACTGTTTCTGTTCACCAGGACATTTAGTTTTCAGAATAAGTCATTAATTTCTCAATTGTGACCCCATGTCCTTATGATTGTAAGTTATGATAATGATGATGCTAGAGAGGGGACCCAGTGCCTTGGACTTGCGGACTTGGAGTTGCAGCCCTTGCCCCTGAACATTTAGACATGGCCAGATTGCTCACATCTGTCATGGTTTTATTTTTTAGCGTGCTTAATAGGAAAACAAATGCAAGTGAGTTGTATCATTTTTTGCTTTTCTAACCTATTTCATTATAGAAACATTTATATGTACGTTTCTCTGTTTAACTTCAGAATGGGCAATGCGACTTAACACCAAAGGGATGGCATCTTGGCAGGATGCTTTTTGGTTAAAAACAGCTGAGATAGAACAGGTAAGACTCACAAAGGATGTTTCTTGTTTCCCACATTCAGGGTAGATCGGGATATGATAGAAAGCAGTGCAAATGAGACACAAAAGAGAGATAGTTTTCCACCATGGCAAACAGTGTCTCTGAAGAAATGCCCCAAATCTGGTATGAGAAACTTCAGAGTTCCCACAAGGATACATTCCCACCTATAAAATTAGACATTGGGCTTTATAATCTTAGGAAAAGCTACAGGATGAAAAGCTACAGGAATCCTTTCAAAATTAGAGCAGATGATATGGGATTCTTGCATTCGGGTTCCTTCACTCATATTGAATGAAATCCAGAGGGCAGGAACTATATGCATGTTTTGAAGATGAGAAAAATCATCAAGTAATGTTTCTGTCTTCAGAAATGTTAAATTTACTGTTTTGTTATCAATAGGCAAGAATTCACAATGGAAAGGACTTCTATGAATGTAAGCCATGTGTAGAAATCTTCAAAGAACACTCATGCCTTCTGACACACGTGGGTACTCCTAATGGAGGGAACACTTGTGGTAGTGGTCAGTATGAACAACACAACTTTCCTAATCTGCATAAGGATACTTCTGCAGACAGACTTCCGGTATTCAGTCAGTATGGAAAAGACTTCAGTCTGACTCCAGGTGTTGCTTACCAGACCTCATGTGTGCAAGCCAGGTCACTTGACTGTGGTAACTTTGGGCAGGACTTTATTAGTCAGTCATGCCTTTACCCACAGGGGAGGACTCACAGTGAAGACAGATTTTTCCAATGGAGGCAGAGTGATGATGCTTTTAACCCCTCTGTGGGCCACATTGGGCCTGTTCAGACATACGCTGGAAAAAAGTCCTATGAATGTAGGGAGTGTGGGAAAAGTTTTAAATACTCTGCCAACCTTAATATTCATATGCGCACCCATACAGGGGAAAAACCTTACCAGTGTAAGGAATGCGGGAAAGCTTTTTCCAGGTGTTATCCCCTAACTCAGCACTTAAAAACTCACACTGAAGAGAAGCCCTTTGAATGTAAGGTTTGTGGAAAATGCTTTAGAAATTCCTCATGCCTTAATGATCACTTTCGAGTTCACACTGGACTAAAACCCTATAAATGTAAGGACTGTGGCAAAGCCTTTACAGGGCGCTCTGGCCTCAGTAAACATTTACCAACCCATACTGGCGAGAAGCCGTATGAATGTAAGGAGTGTGGCAAAGCCTTCACTTCTACCTCGGGCCTCATCAAGCATATGAAAAGTCACACGGGAGAGAGACCCTTTGAGTGTGACTACTGTGGGAAGGCTTTTGCTTCTTCTTCAACCCTCATCACACACTTGAGAACACACACTGGAGAGAAGCCCTTTGAGTGTAAGGTGTGCGGGAAAGCGTTCACATGTTCTTCTTATCTCCGCATTCACATGCGGACTCACACCGGAGAGAAGCCCTATCAGTGCAAGGAATGCGGCAGGGCCTTCACTGAGCGCACGAGCCTTACTAAACACTTACGCACGCACACTGGAGAGAACCCCTTCGAGTGTACTGTGTGCGGGAAAGCGTTTGCATGTTCTTCCTACCTTCACAATCACATTCGAACTCACACTGGAGAGAAACCGTATGTGTGTAAGGAATGTGGGAAGGCCTTCACGGTTTCCTCACACCTAAGTAAACATGTTAGAATTCACACGGGAGAGAAGCCCCATAAATGTGAGGAATGTGGGAAGGCCTTTACTGTACGCTCAGGCCTCACTAAGCATGTGCGAACGCACACTGGGGAGAAGCCCTATGATTGTAAGGAGTGCGGGAAGGCCTTCACCACTTCCTCAGGCCTCATTGAACACATAAGAAGTCACACGGGAGAGAAACCATACGAATGTGACCAGTGTGGGAAGGCCTTCGCCTCCTCCTCATACCTTATCGCACATTTGAGAACTCACACTGGAGAGAAGCCCTTTGAGTGTAACATGTGTGGGAAAGCGTTCACATGTTCCTCCTACCTTCACATCCACATGCGAACGCACACTGGAGAGAAGCCCTATGAATGTAAGGAGTGTGGGAAGGCCTTCGCTGTTTACTCACACCTCAGTAAGCATGTCAGAATTCATAGTGGAGAGAAAGCCTACAAGTGCAAGGATTATAGGCTAGCTTTCAGTGGTTCTCATCTAACTGAGCACATAGAGACCCTGGACAGAAGGCGCTTGGATGAACGGAATGAAGAAACTGTTTTAAGAAGTCCTCTTGCCTTAGCAATGCACTCAGATTCACAGTGGCAAGAAACCTTATCAGTATGAGCCACATGTAAAGTATTCCTTTGGCCCAGTTCACTTTAGAGACCTGAGAGGACTCATTCTAAGATGCCCCTTGAACTTAAGGAGTGTGGGTAAGCCATCAGAGCCTGCTCACAGTCCTGCAAGAACTCACTGTGAAGCTGTGCGGTGTCAGAAACATGGAAAACTCTCGCTGCCTCTTGGGATCTCACTAACCATGAGATCTTCAATGAAGAGGAACTCTGTAGCGTGGCAAAGCTGTAGTTCTGCTAAGTACTTGGGTGGTTGCCTCTAATATCACAATGGAGAGAGACTTCATGAAAGTAAGAAATGTTGGAAAGTCATTTTACCTTACCTTATTCTATAACCTTTAATAAACAGACATGATTCACTCTAGAAGTTGTTCGTGTGTGGAATATGGGAATTGTTTCTCTGTCCTTCAGTTTTGTATGCTTCAGAGATACATGCCCTTATTGGTGGTTTTATAGACTTGTTTTGAACAGTTACACTTCAGTATTTGAAATGTGTTGAATATTTGTATTTATGACTTAAGTTTTAAATATCTAATTTCTACTGTACTTAGTTTTTGTTTCCCTTTACTAAGATGACTGATAACTAAAATTGTATATATTTAGGGTAAACAACCTGATGTGGAATATATATGGTCACCTGTTACTTTTGGTGTTATGAAGCACTTTCTACTCAGCACATTCAGGTATATGATACATTATCATTAACTATATTTGCCATGCTCTGTATAAAGTCTCAAGGAGTTATTCATCTTACAACTGAAAGCTTGTACCCTTTGACAAATAATTCGTTTCTCCAATAACTCCTTACCCTGGGTAACCATGATTATATTTTTTCTGTACTGTGTAATTAAGTATGATCACGTAGTACTTTTTTATGTCTGGCGTATTTCATGTACCATACTGTCCTCTAGGTTCAATCCTGTTGTTCCAAATGGCAGAATTTCCTTCTCTGTTAAGGGTAAATATTCCATTATATATGTCACATAGATTGTTTCCATACCTTGGCTATTGTCAGTACTGTTGCATTTAATGTAAGAGTGCATATCTCTTTAGGTAGTCATTTTATTTCCTTGGATGTATGCCCATAATTGGTTTCTTGGATCACTTGGTTATTCTGTTTACAAATTTATGTGGAACCTCCATACTGTTTTCCAAGTGGCTCTATCAATTTTTATTCCATTCAGCTGTGTATAAGTGTTAGGATTTTCTTCACATCCTTGCCAGCACTTCCTGTCTGGATTTTTTTCTACTTTTTTATTTTTATTTTTTGGTGGGACTGGGGCTTGAACTCAGAGCTTTGCACTTGCAAAGCAGGTGCTCCACTGCTTGAGCCACACTCCAGTTCATTTTGCTCCTGCTTTTTTTTTGTTGTTGTACTGGGGTTTGAACTTGGGGCCTACCTTGAGCCACTCCACCAGCTGTTTTTTATGATGGCTTTTTTTCCAGATAGAATCTCTAGAACTATTTGCCTGGGCTGGCTTTGAACTGTGATCCTGCTGATATCTGCCTCCTGAGGAGCTGGGATTATAAGTGTGAGCCACTTGTCCCTGGGTGCTCTGGCTATTTTGGAGATAAGGTGTCATGAATTACTTGCCCGGGCTGGCTTTGATCTGTGATCCTCTGATCTCAGCCTCCCAAGTAGCTAGGATTACAACTGTGAGCCACTGGTGCCTGGCTGTTTTTTTTTTTTTTTAAAGCCATCCTAACATCACAATGCAATATATCACTGTGGTTTGATTTTCATTTTCCTAATGGCCAGTGATTTTTTTTTTTTTTTCCTTTGGTGATCCTTGGGTTTAAACTCAAGAAGAGCGTCATGCTTGTTAGGCAGGAGCTCTACCTCTTGAGCCACTCTGCCAGCCTATGGCCAGTGAGTTTTGAACAATGAATGGCATTATAATCTTTAAAAGAAAGGCATTAAATATCTAAATCACTTTAGGAGATTTGGATATTTCCACAATATTAATTCCAGTCCATGAAGATGGTATATCTTTTCATTTGTGTCTTAATTTCCTCCATTGATGTGTTACTAGTTTTAGTTATATATATAAATAAGCATATTTATATATAAATTAATGTATAATGTAAATTAATATATAAAATATGTGAACATAAGAAATCTATAATATAATAAATATATATCTTTTGAAAAGCTATTTGGCATTTTGGCTGAACTTGAACCTGTGTACTCCATATTCAAAAAAATGCGTGGACTTTAGGACAACTGTCAAAAGATTACTCATAGGAGCTAGAACTAGAATGCCTTTAGGTGGGAAAAAAAAAACCCTGCAAATTTTCTTGAACATAAAAAAGAAAAACAATAATTTTCTGGGTACAGTGGTTCCTACCTATAATTCCAGCTACTTGGGAGGTGGAGGCAGGAGGATCGAGAATTCAAGGCCAGTTGAGGTAAAGTTAACTAGACCCTTCCAAAACAAAATAAAGACAAAAGGACTAGGGTGGAGCTCAAATGAAAGTGGGTTTACTGTCTAGTACTGCAAAAAAAAAAAAAAAAAATTAAAAGTGGTAATAGCTTTCTGTTTTTGACTCAAAGTCAATGGACTAAAACAACATGGATATTTGACCTCACAATTTTTGTTGGTCAGAAGTATAGGCATGGCTTAGTCTGATTTTCGCTCAGGATTTCATAAATCTGAAATCAGGTGTATTTTCATGTGGATGGGGTGCTGAAATATCTAAGGATGTGCTTCCCATCTCCAGATTGCTGGCAGAATATATATACTGTGGCTACAGACTTGCTGCTAGCTTATTTTATCAAAGTCAGCAACAGAGATTGTGTTTTGGCCGCTTTTCTGCTGCTAGGAAGACCTTTTTTGAAGGGCTCACCTGATTTGGTGAATGTTTCTAGAAATCTTCCTAGTGGAGAGGTTTTCTCTTTTGAATAATGTAAAATCTGAATTAGGAGCATGAATTATGTCTGCAAAATACCTACATTATTGGTATCCCATCACCTTAATCATATTTTCTCTATCAGAAGTTTATCCCATGAACACTGAAAGTGAAGGGCTTACACAGAGACATATACTAGAGGGCAGGATTCATGGAGAACATCTGACAATTCTGTCTGCTAAACAACTTCCACTGGCTAACACAGATGAAGCTCACAAGAAATGACATAAAGCAATGCATATTGTGTATATTTATAGTTTACAGTTTTGAAAACAGAAGTGCTATGGTTTGGATCTGGAGTATCCTCCAAGGGCCCTTGTGTTAAAGGCACTGTGGTTGGAGGTGGAGCCTTTGGGAGGTGGGGCCTAGAGGAGATGAGTTAGGTTATTGCCGGCATGGCCTAGAGGGGACAGCCCCTCCTGTCTCTGCTTTCTGGCTTCCTTGAGGTGAACAGGTATCCTGTGCCACATCCACACAGTTAACACCATGTATCTCCTCACCACTGGCCCCAAAACAACCTGACCAAACTATCATGGACTGAAACCTTGGAAACTGAGCCAAATAAATTTTCTCTGTTTATCACAGGCACTTTGTCACAATGACCAAAAGCTGACTGACACAGTGTAAGCACAATTATCCTGTCTATGCACTGAATGCAGGTAGACTGAACGGGCATAGTCATTTGAAGAGTCTGGAAAGTAAATTGTTGGAGCTTGATGGAAAAAAAAGATTTCAAACTCCCAGCTAACAGTCATTACATTTGCCAGTTTTCCCCTTCTGGTGTATATTCAGTGAAGCTGAGAGTGTTAAGGCAGACATCAGAACCATGTGGAAAGCTCAAGAAGCTCTGTGGGTTCTGGCACAATCCACAGGTGGGGATTTCCTAGAGCTCAGAGAAAGCCAGATAAATGTGTTACTATTTTTTTTATTGTTAGCATATGATAGCTGTGCAGGGGGTACATTGTGACATTTACATATGTGCTTACAATGTATCTTCGTTAGATTCACCTCCTCCATCTTTCTCCTTTATCCCCATCCCCCTTCTTAGAGCAGTTTCAACAGGTTTCATTGTGCTATTTTTATACTTGAGTACAAAATACTTCCATCTTATTCTTCCTCCTTCACCCTTTTTTTAATATCTTACCGTCTTTAATTTATTATAAAAGAACATTTTGTAATTAATGATTTTCACCTTCATTTGACCCCAGCCCTTGAGCAATCCTGTGCTGGCAGTGAGACACAGGTAGACCTGGAGAACTGAAGTCTGAGATGACGTTACATGCAGTCTCACCTCTAAGTAGAGACTCTAGTAGTACTGCATCTCTGAAAACACAACTCACATTCATGGCACAACCCACAGAGTGCTCATTAAAACTTGCAAGCTGAATCCAATTGGGTAAGTCCCTGGTTTAAAAAAACAAAACAACAAAAAACCTGAGGGCTGGTTGAGTGGCTCAGTGGCACAGCACCTGCCTAGCAAGTGCAAGGCCCTGAGTTCAACTCCCCAGTACCACAAACAAAACAGAACAGAACAAAACCCAACCAAAGAACAAAAACCCCTGCATTCTCCATAGGATCTAAAGACCCAGAGTGCCAGCCTGTAATACTCAAAATGTCAACAATGTAATCCAAAATTATTCAACATATATCACATTCTTGGGAGTTTGTATGACAATACCAAAAAGCTAACATTCATGACATTGGTGTCCTGTAAGAAGAGAAAATGGGATGCACTTTATAGAACGTAAGTGGTGAAGAGCTGGGCATGGTAGTGCATATTTGTAATCCCAGAACTTGGGAGGGCTAAGGCAGGAAGATTTTGAGTTTGAGGCCAGTCTACACATTGAGATCCTGTCTAAAAACAGAAATGCTGAGTTGTCTGGGTCAGAGCTAGTCAGCAGTCACCGGGAAAGCAGGGAGTGGCCCGCTGGAGTGCAGGTAAGCTGTTGGACTCACTGTAGCAAATCAAGTTGCCAGTAAAGGAAAGAACAAGAGCACTGCATCTTCATCAGGAGCCCATGGGCACCTGACCTGTGGTGTGCAGATAAGCCATAGCTGGTGGGTGAGGGCACAGAAGTGACAGTGTTCCTGACACCCTTGCATTCTTTAGTGTTTCCTAGAAACATTTCTATTGTTATGGATAGTTATCTAGCTGTCATACTGGCTGGCTGGGGTTCTACTCTACCTGCATGGAAATCTAGTTATTTCAGGGCCTTGGCAATGGATGACAGTGGGCAGTCCTGGGCCTTCACAGCTAGGGCAGTGGCATGGGCTTGAGGCTTTTTTTTTTTTTTTTTTTTTTTTGAGTCACTCCTCCAGTCCATTTTGCTCTGATTATTTTGGAGATGGGGCTTTGAGAACTGTTTACCTGGGCTGGCCTCAAACTATGATCCTCCCAATTACAGCCTACCAAGAAGCAAGGATTTACAGGCCTGAGCCACCAGTGCTCAGTTTTTCACAACCTTTTTCAGTCTCAGCTCTCCACTTTCTCTCACTTGCTCACTCCCCATCTCTTACTGCCTGTTTCACATTTTTTGGGGGGTTTGAAGTTAGGGTCTCATGCTTGCTAGGCAGGCATTCTTACTCCTTGAGCCATTCCGCCAGTCCTTTTTTTTTATGATGGATTTTTTTCGAGATCTTGCCAACTATTTGCCCAGGGATGGCTCTGGACCTCGATCCTCCTGATCTCTGTCTCCTGAGTAGCTAGGATTATAAGCTTGAGCCGCCAGCACTTGGCCCTTCACTTCTTCCCATCACTTACTCTGGCTGCTGTCACTGTTGCTGCTTTTTTGTTACACCACTGCAGCAGGTCTTTCAGCCCCCAATGTTACTTCTGCTTCCACTGCCGTGGGTAAGCTTGATAGCCAAGATCAGCCAGAGGCTTCTCCGCAGACAGACACTGTTGTCCATGAGAGCAGCTCTGCTGCTACTTTTGCCATGATGGCTTCATCACCCCACCACTTTTTCTTCTGCTGTGTGGGCCTGATCAGCTGTGATCAGCTCAAGGCTACTCCCAGTGATGGCTTTTGCTGCCCTGCCACTGTGCCACCTCTACTGATGTGTTAATACATAGTAGGAGAAAATTAGGAAATCTGTATGAAATCTTTAGTTTGAGACTTATTTTTAAATAAAGCAAGATACAGGAAATCCAGAAATTATTTTTAAAGAGAAATTCCTTCAGCACATAAAAATTAAGTATTTTGTACATTAAAATATGAAAATTTGATCAGGTGCTGGTGGCTCACACCTATATAATCCGAGCTACTTGGGAGGCCAAAAGTGGGAGGATTGAAGTTTCAGGCCAGACTGGGCAAAACAGTTCTTGAGACCCCCCATCTCCAAAATAACCAGAGCAAAATGGACTGGAGGAGTGGCTCA